TTTTTTTCTCTCCTTTCCTTTTTTTCTCCCTTGGAGTTGAAACACTTAAATAAAATGATGTTAATTAACTTGAGTAAGACAAATTACAAACCAAAGAAGTACAATGTGGTAGCAACACACAATAAAAACAAAATATATTTTACTTAAGATTCCTGTGGCTTCCTTATTTGAAATTTTACTCCATTATCAAGCACAAAGAATGTACTTGTCTACTGAATGTGAAAGACAAGTGATTTCTCAACAATTTATTCCTGAATCTGAAGCATAAACTGCTCTTTAGTGAAGACTTGGAGAAAGCGAACTTGTATGTAGTGACTATGTATGTCTTACTTCTATCCATGTATCTTTCCATCTATATGAATGTGTTACCTAGTTATGATCCCCATAATACAGGGAGGGGTTCCCACATGGAGTCATTTATCAATGAATTCAGTTTAAATGGTAGCTAATTTCAGATGTAATCAGATTCCAGAGTGTGGTGAAAAACATTTATTCTGTTTTCCCCATAAGACCTTGATTCTCAAAGTGTGTGTAAGGGCTAGAAGGAAACCCACTGAACTGGAAACTTTAGGATGAGGCCGTGGTCTCTGTTTTATGAAGTTTTCCAGCTAATTCTTATATGCATTAAAGCTAGAGACTGAAACAGAAGGTAACCTTTCAGGTCTTTCAGGATCTGCCATTGGCGATGGACTCCCTGAAGTGTACGCCTTCCACAAGTTTGCTGTCTTTTCTTCTCCAAACCTCTCTACTTCCCACAGAGCCCTGGTTCTATCTTGTAGTTGACCTGCACTAACTGATCCCCAGTAGCCATCCCTACTCACCAAACCTTAGGATCTGTGTCAGTCTCGGTGGGCTGAATGGTAATTCTTCAGTGCGTACCACCTATATCTCTTTTGCTAATTTGATCGTTTCCATGATCCAGTGCCTTGCTGTGCAAATGGTTCACTTCGCAATAAAGATGAGAGGACTGAGACTCGCCTCCTGCCACACATATTGCAAGTGACGGTCAATCGGGATAATCATGGCTAACACCCTTGCTCCAACATAATTAATATTACTCCCTCTTACTCTTAGGTGCTTTGATATAGATGGGAAATTTTATTACATTGAACCTAAATCATAAGTAGTTCAAACACTGTTGCAATCTGTATTGTGAGAAGGATTTACTGAGAAGAAGTTTTTTAGGGCACAAAAATGAAAGATGTCTATTTACAGTAGGTAGACAAGGCAGACTTGGGGGTTGGTGTAAATAGCTTTAGAAGCCAAAAACTTAGGGGCTGAGAGTTTGAGATCAGTATGGTTGTGAAGCAGCTGGTTTTTATACTACGGCAAGTATAAGTGGCTCAAAGAGGCTGGTGTCTGGTGGAGGCTGGCAGAGGTAAAACTGGAGAGTGAGGAATGGTTTGAAGTCAAGTCTTTGAGAAAGGGTAATGGCAAATTTTACTCCTTATTTTTCCCTCAATAACATCAATTTAGGTTTTCTTGATAGTTACTAAAAAGAAATCTAGTTTGCTTCCCTATTTGTATTGGTTGTATGTATTCGAAATATTTATTGTTTTATTTTCCAACAATTTGGGGCTGTATTTCAAACAAATGGTCATTGTATAACACAGCGGAATAATAATTTACTTTCAATTTTTATCCAGATATTCAAATTAAGTTTAAAAAAACCCAAATGATTCACATTCCACAATATTTTTTGCCTTTATCACAGCAGAACACAAATGTAACACTATTGAGATATATGGCCTGTCGAGAGCAGAATGGGAGGAATTATGCAAATACCTAGCTCTAATATGTTGTAATTTTATTTTTCTGAATATGAATATGATGAGTGAATTCAGCTGTTAAAGGAGCATATGGAAGTTTTTTCTATCACCATTAATGATACTGAAATTATGCATTTTGTGTATTTTTAGGACTTTTCAATGTGGTGCATATTATATGGCAAAGCTTATTCAAAGCAAAAAAATATTAAATTTGATAAATTTTATATATTATTTGACATAATATTTAATGTTATTTCCTTTTTTGTCAGTTAATGTTAAAGATGTGTTTGGCATTGACAAAAATGAAAAAGGCTTGTCCTGGGCCAAACTTGGAAACTGAATCCTTAAGTTATTGAGTGTCATGAGCTTCATCATATGGGTGACTTGTCAGAGACCCTTTCTGTTGTGTCTGTGTGGACACAATAAGTATCAAGTCCTTCAAGCTGAATTTCCCCTCTACAATCTGGGTAATGGATTTTAGGAAAATTACTTCACTATTCAATTAATCATTGCATTTTCCTATTAATACAGAAGACATTTAAGAATTAATATCTACATGAAAAGGGGAAGAACAATAAATTATCTATATGATTCCTTATTTATATATCACATAAATCATGTGTGCATTAATGCATTTATGCACTAACTTAAATATTATGCTTTGAAGACATACATATGCATGTCTTTTTATGTATGTATGTATGTATACTTTTAGGTTTTTGCTATAGTGCACTTGTGTTCAACCAAGAGAGCCAGAGAGAGACAATGAGAGGGAAGTGAGAAATCATTCCCCAAAGGGGATAGGCTCGCCATAGTCCTTTCTCTTCCATTTCTTTCAGGATTTTGGACACACATGCACACACTCCTGGTGTGAAATTCAAACTACTAAGTTCAGGACTTGAACTGCAGTTGGTCACATGGGAGTCCAGCACCTTATCCACCATGCCACCCGCTGGCCCATCTATATATGTATCTTAATGAAGATTAAGGCAAGAAGAGATAGTTAGAAGAGATTTTTAGCATTCCACTAAAAAGCAATTCTTTTTTTTTTTTTTTTTTTTTTGAGTCTTTGGTATAGTTCATGTGCATTCATCAGGAAAAGACAGAGAGAGAGGGAAAGTGAGAAATCATTTCCCAAAAGGAATAGCCATGCCACAGTCTCTTCTCCTCCAATCTGTTCTCGGGATTTTGTGTACCCACACACATGCCCAGTGTGTTTTTCAAGCTTCTGTATCCAGGATTCAAACTGTGCAGTTGGCTATGTGGGATACAGTCCCTTAACCACCATGCCACTTGCTGACCCAGATGATCTTATCTTTATCTTACTTTTTTTTTTTTTTTAACTAACTGAACTTTAAATTTAGTTTTATAGCTACATATCTGTAGAGTTAGTATATACGGAAATTTCTTAAATGAGGTGTTCTATTGCTTTTAAATGTAACTTATTTAAAATTCAGTTTTCTTTTTTTTAAGAATTATTTAACTTTATTTATTTATTTTAATTTGACCAAAGAGAGAGAGAGAGAGAGAAAGTGAGAAAGCAAGCACAGGTCCAGGGTTCGAACCACAGTCAGCCATGTGGGAGTCCAGCACCTTTAACCACCATGCTACTTGCCAGCCCATAATCCCGTTTTCTTAATGATGTTCCAGGAAAGTTTTGTTTGCTTTGGGAGATGAGAAGGGCACATAATGTTAGGTGACAAACTAAGAAAATAATGTAAAACCTTTTGTAGGAATGGTTAAGGGATCTCTAACTCCTGGTCTTAAATTGACAATTATAATTTATTATCCTAGGCCTGTCTTTACTGAGTATTTTTTAATAAGTTTAGGAATCTTTCAATGCAGGCAGTGATTATGGGTTATCATAAATCCTTAAATATTTTATCCTTTTATTTTAAAAACTACCCTTTCTAGATTAGAGCAAATTTTATAATATTAGAGAAACAAACCAATAATAGGCTCTTCCAATAGCTACTAAAGACCATTTATTATTTTTTAAGTTTTTATATTTTTGTGTGCATATCAGGACTTGCAAATCATTCAAAAAAAATTTGTAGTGTTGTTAAATTTTTGAATTTCAAGCAACTAAGAAACCCCAAACAAAGAGAGATGATAATTAGAACACAACTCAACAAGCCTGGCGGTTGCATGGATGGCTTCAGCATATCTCTGTCATCCTTTGATTGACTTTCATTTGAATAGCCCTATCAGTTAAGCTTGTCACATATATCACATCATTACTTTTGCTTTTAATCCCTAGCTATAAAAAGAAAGAAAATACCTTGTTTCTGTTTACATAATTATGGCCTTAAAATTGTGTCCAACTTACATCTTTTCCTTTATCTTTTAAGTATGTTTCTGGGCTGGCATTATATTGGGTCATTGGAAAAGTCCTAACACATGTTTTGCATAGAAAAACAGAAAAATACATCACCACTTTTCCAACAACACAATGTAATAAAGCTCATGGTATAGCTATAAAGAGTTGTGTGACTTTAAGGAGTAGTATTTCTAACCTTGCACAGCTGACTAGTTAGGAGTGAGTTAATGCTTAACCTATATTCTCTCTGTAATTTCAGCCTTAAGTATAGGACATACATATATTAATATGGATACATCTGTACACATGCATCAGAGATGAACTTATTTTAAAAGCACTGACAATTAAAATCAACTCAACTCATATTTATAACATATCTTTAAATTTGTTTATTTCTTGCTTGAATAGTCTCTAGAGTATTTCTTTTTTTTTTCTTTTTAATTGTGGAAGATTTTTTGCTATATGGTGTGTGTACTTGCCAGAGAGACAGAAAGTGAGAAATCATCCCCTTGAGGAGTTGTGGGGGGGCAGATGGCCAGGCTGCAATCCCTTCTCCTCCCTTCTCTTCTAGACATTTTGGGCACACACATATGTACCTGGCATGAGTTTCAAGCCAGCAGGTCTGGGACTCAAACCATGGTTGACTGCATAGAAGTCCAGCAGTGTAACCACTGCACCATCTGCTGATCTCAAGGATATTTTTTTTTTTAAGAAAACAAATTAAGTATACCAAATAGAAACTTTGCCATGTTCTGCAGTGAAGGGAAAGACATATAAAATAGGACTAAATATTAAATCTTAGCTTCAAATCATCTTCAGTGCTGTACTTATTTTTCTGTAATACAAGTTTTATTGTTTCATGTGACTCTTATTGTCTTGAATAGAAGCTCACTTGCTTTCATACTTTGCAGGTCAGTTTCTTTTGGAAGAAGCTCGCCTTATAGAAGCAGCGGAGATGGCAAAGAAAGCGGCTGAGCTAGACAGCACGGAATTCGACGTTGTTTTCAATGCTGCCCATATGCTCAGGTTAGTTTTGGCTCCTGGAACTTAAAGAAATTCACTGGGTTTTTATACTAATTTTCTTAGTAGGCCATCTCTTCCACATTTTTTTGTGTGAATCATGCTACTTAATCTTTGTTGTAGTCAATGTGCAAAATGTGTTGGGCATATAAGCTTGCAGGACTCTGAAAATTATGGAGACCACCCCCCCTTCCCTTTTTCTACAAAAATTACTGGTCATAAACTATTGGGTTGTTGGAAAAGTCATGACATTTTCTGTTCTTCTGTGCAAAAATGGCCATCACTTTTCTGACAACCTAATACAAAAGGAAAATTGCAAAATTGAATGTACATACTGTTTAATTAAATGTCTCAAAAAATAAACATTGTCATTTTATCAGCTGCACCTCAGTATTTATTTTTGTGTTAATTATATGGGATGTGGCATGTGAATACATTTTAATGTTTGGTAATAGAGGGAATTATCGTGTGTGTGTGTGTGTGAATACACACACACACACACATAAGGCCTGTGAAATTTTCAAAATGATGCTCTAATCACCGCTGTTGCTGTCTTGAAACTATGTATTCTTTTAGACCTTTAGTACTTGTGTTTTCAGAAGCATTATTACAAAGGCTAATTCTACTAATTATGAGAAATTAAAGAGGCAGATCAGCAAATTTTGTTCTGAATATAAATGAGTGCCAATGCATCCATGGAGCTTTAACTTAATATCTTGGGTTGAAGAAGGATGTTTTTAAGAAGCTCAGGTGATATATATGGTTATTTAAAAAGCATTACTAGGAATCTTCAAAAAATCCATGGGAAATGCAATTATGGAGCTGTTCCCCTAGTGCAGTGTTTAAGCATTATCTGTGTGTTAGGAGCAAATCCTGCATGGCCGATGGTGACTCCCTCTCCTCTCCCACCCCGAGTAATTGGAAAAATATACTGGGTAATTGTGCATAGGTGCCCCAAAATCCTGACAGAAATGGAGGAAAAGGATTGTAGTATGACCATGCCCTGTTGACAGTTTTCTCTCTCTCTCTCTCTTCTGGCAAGTGCACATGCCCACTGGCAATTAAATAAATAGAATTTTTAAAAATTGCTTAGCTTGGAAAAATCATGAGTGTAATTCAAACATTTCTTTGCACCAAAATAAACTTGTACTTTTTTTTTTTTTTTGAGAGGTTTTTGCTATAGGGCGCGTGCGCTCGCCAGAGAGAGACAGAGAGACAGAAAGCGAGAAATCACCACCCAGGGGGGATGGCCACACCACAATCCCCTCTCCTCCGTTCTCCTCTTGGGATCTTGAGCACACATGCACATGCGCCTGACCTGAGTCCTAAGCCACCGGGTCTGGGACACAAACCGTGTCCGTCTACGTGGGAGTCCAGCAACATAGCCATTACGCTAACTGCTGGTCCCAAAATAAACTTGTACTTTAATTGCATTTTTCCATGACCTTTTTGAAGGAACCTCATATTTGTTTTCTTACCTGTTATATACCCTTTCTCCCATGGTCTTACCTGAATTTCACTCCATTAGTGCCCCACCTAAAGACTTTATTAAATAACATCCATGTTATGGTTTATCTGCGTGGTTTCTTAGGGATAATTTTAATAAATACGTAGATCACTCTTAAAAGGGAAGAAAAATAACAGAGGAGGAGTTGGTTCATATTGGGATAGTTTTTAAATGAAGACTTTTGAGGGACCAACAGTTGGCGTAATGGCTATTTCACTGGACTCCCACGTATTCGACCATGGTTCGAGTCCCGGACCCGGCAGCTTAAAGTCGCCAGGTGTGGTGTGTGCCCAAGATCCTGAGCATAAACACCCTATAGCAAAAGCTTCTCCAAAAAAAAAAAAAGAAAGAAAAAAAAAGAAGACTCTGAAAGTAGAGGAACTTCTTTATTCAACTTTTATTGTGAGGTCATTATAGATTCTCATATAGTTGTAAGACATAATAAAGAGAGATTCCCTGCATCGTTTGTCTAGTCCAAATGGTAGTATCTTGCAAATGTGGTACTTACCACAACCAAGATACAGTCCATTGGTCTGCCTTTGTTTCTCTAGTTTTATTTGTGTGTGTGTTTGTGTACATGTGCAATTTTATCACTCATAGAGGTTTGTGTATTTATCACCAGGAAATAACAATAATACTCTTTGGTTACAGGTATCATTTGTATTTTTTTATTTTTGTAACCACATATTTCCACCTACCCCTGTCTCCTAGGAAGCAATATTTGAAGCAAATTTGTAGTTCAGTTTGGGTTATCATAGAACTGTATGTATCGGGGAACCAGCAGTTAGCGTAATGGCTGTGTCGCTGGACTCCCACGTGGTCTACCGCAGTTTGTGTCCCGGACCCGGTGGCTTAAAACTCACGCCGGGCGCATGTGCGTGCATGCCCAAGATCCCGAGAGGAGAATGGAGGAGAAGGGATTGTGGCGTGACCATCCCCCTGGGGGGTGATTTCTCACTTTCTGTCTCTAATGTCTCTCTCTGTCTGTCTGGCAAGTGCACGCACCCTATAGCGAAAATCTCTCTCAAAAAAAAAAAAAAGAACTGTATGTATCTCAGTCATCTCCTACCTGGCTTTTTATAAGTTTTAAATAAGAAACCTAAAGCCTGGCTGAGAAGGAAAAGTGTACTGTGAGGTTTCAGTTGAATATCTGCATGTCTCATTAGTGTTTAGCATTCCTAAAGCACTTGTTTTATGGTGAACCCAAGCCAGCAGACCTCTACAAAGAGAAATCAGGTTCAATTGATTGTTGGCATATTTATAAAATAAAGGGTAGCCAACCTGCAGGGACCTGCAATGCAAGGATAATTTTTAAAAGACACCATTTTTTGCTTGACAAGGTTAGGTGCTGTTACAGGGAAGAAGGCTTTTTATTCTTCATGAATAAAACACTATCTTTTAGTCCCATAAACCATTTGCAAGGATGGAAAATCATAATTTTCTCTAGGCTAATTCATCTTCATCATAATAGATACTTTCATCGACAAGGCATTTGGCTACGTACTAAATCAGTATCTGGAAATAAAGGTCTACCCATAGAAACCCATTATAAGGATATTACGACGTATGTCCTTGTCAAATTTATCATTTTTAATTTTCCCTTAGTTACCATCATGCAAGAAGCCAGTTGAAAGGTTTGTTATGTGTTGGTGGTATGGAAACCTATAGGATTTATTTGCAAACCCTTCTCTCTTTTTTTTTTTTTTTTTTTCAGTCTGCATTCCTCATCAAACTATACTCAGTCTAGTCAGTCAAACTAGGCAGGAAGAACCCTCCTATTTGACTGCAAGTAATGACCAGAGCAGCCTGTGTCTTACTCTGCTTAGTGGTAGCTTAGCTTCTTATTTAGCTTTTCTAGTTTTTGGCTCTGTCAAATTCAAATATTTCTGGAGTGCTTCTTGTGTAAGCTGAATACCAATTTCTTTTCTCCTTAGGGACAATTAGGATTTTGTTTGTCAAAAAGAGTAAGAAAGGTTATTGATTTCTTCTTAAATATAGTTTGATCAAAATGGCTAGCTATCAGTATTTGAATTGTTTATGTTCATATGAAGTTTCTACCACTGTGGATGCCAAATAGTTCTAAATTAAATTAACTGGTTTTTTTTTTTTTTGTCAAGACCTCACCTCTTTTGCTGAAGATTTAAGAGACAATATTGACAAGGTTTAGTGACCAATTGGGTGTGGAGGACCAGCAGATGTCTCTCTGGTTGTGACTTGGTTAGCTGGATTAATGGCTTACCTATCCCAAATCAGCTATTTGGTAAAAGGTTATAGTTCAAGATATTGTTTAGATATACTGATTTCATTTCTCTTTTCTTGGCAAATTCCCAATGAAATGACCAAAATATTCTATTGAGGAAAAAGCTGCTCATTTCAAATGTAACCAAAAAAAAAAAAAAGGTAATAATAATTTCTTCTGGATGACACTAGATTTAAAGAAGTGATAGCGTAAGGTAGCCATTAAGAGGCAAATCTTTATCCCGTTGAAACCTTTGAAGATTTGAAATTTGAGACATTTGTAATAGGCCCATTTCAACTCAGTAATAGATAAAGATATTTTTCTATAGAATAAGCTAATACAAAGTTTTGAACTGTATGATTTTACTTTGGCAATTACGACAAGAATGATAAAAGTGAGGGCCAGCAGGTGGCATCGTAGTCACGGTACTCAACTCCCTCCTGGCTGACTCATGTTCAAGCCCTGGACATGGCAGCCTGAGAATTACACTAGGCATGTGTGTTCAGAATTCTAAGAGGAGAATGAGAGAGAAGGGATTGCAAGGGCACAGCCACCTGCCCTGGAGGGGAGTGACTCCTCACTTGCTCTCTCTCTGTCTCTCTCTCTCTCTGGTGAGCACCAGAGAGTGTGGCCTATGGCAAAAACCTCGGGGGAAAAAATAAAAAAAAGATAAAGAGATTGTTGATTTAGAAGGCACTCAGTGAAGCAGATTTGAATTGGAAACTTAAAAGCCAGTTAGAACATCTCTGATTCCTATTATCATGGTGATTGTCAAGAACACTGTCTGGTATAGAAGTGGTTTTCATGTTGTTCACCAAATATGTTTGGCCCTCCACTTTTGAGTATCACATTAGGATTGTTGTTTCCTGCTTTCTTTGAAGTTCAGGCCTTTGTGATTGCTGTTTCCTGCTTTCTTTGAAGTTCAGACCTATAAGTGTCTTATTTGGGTCATTGAATATGTGTAAATGTGATGGATGTTACTTTTTTTTTTTTTGGAGAGGTTTTTTGCTACAGGGTATATGTGCTCGCCAGACAGACAGAGAGAGACATAGAGACAGAAAACGAGAAATCACCACCCCCCCGGGGGGGATGGTTACGCCGCAATCCCTTCTCCTCCATTCTCCTCTCAGGATCTTGGGCACGCACGCATATGCGCCCAGCGTGAGTTTTAAGCCACCGGGTCTGGGACGCGAACAGCAGTCGACTACATGGGAGTCCAGCAACATAGCCATTATGCTAACTGCTGGTTCCCCATGGATG